GCATGCACCTGGGGCCCCAGGATGTTCATTTCTAGGGATGTTTTAGGTACCCATATATGCAGTGAATGGAGTATGCACAGCGTTTTTCATCCCAGCATTGTTTGTAAGAGTAAAAAGTATTGACAAAAAATATTAACACTGGTTACATCCAGGAAGGGGAACTGTGCCTTAGAATAGAGTTGGGGAGCCAGTTTTCACTATACTGAGTTTAAAACTTTTTGACTTTTGCACTATGTATTTATTACCTCTTGTAAAATAAGTATTAATATATGTACTGCAAAGTGTGACTTGGAACAGAATGAATATTCTTCTTTAAATAGACTCAATTAAAAGATAAATACATTTATTGAAAAGGCTTTGCCATCTTAAAAGGAAAATTGGTATTATTTGCTATGTATAAGAGATAATCCTGAGAGAAAATATCATGGGGAGAACAGTTTTGGAAACTTAAAAGATACTCCCTTTTCTCTTACAAGCTCTGTAAAACATACTTTTCAAAAAACAGTAACAAAAGTCATGTTTTTCCATGCTACCCAGAGAGGGATCCATATAGCACTGTTCTCGATTCCCACATAACTTAAAGGGACAATATCACAATGTCCAGAGGCCTTGATGTTCTGCAAATGAAGGAGGAGGATGTCTTCAAATTCCTTGCAGCAGGACACCACTTAAGTGGCACCAACCCTGACTTCCAAATGGAACAGTATTTCAAAAGGAAAAATGATAGCACTGACATCATAAAACTGAAGAGATCCCAGGGGGAAGCTTCAGCTGGCAGCTCATGACATTGATTTCACTGAAAACCCTGCTGATGTCAGTGTCATATTGTCCAGGCATACTGGTCAGCAAGCTGAGCTGAAGTTTGCTGCTACCCCTGGGGCCACTTCTAGGTGGGCTGCTTCACTCCTGGAACATTTCCTAACCAGATCCAGGCAGCCTTCCAGGAGCCAAGACTTTCTGGTGGTTACAGATCCCAGAGCTGACCACCAGCCTTTCACTGAGGTGTCTTATGTTAATCTACCTGCCACTGCTCTGTGTATCATAGACTCTCTGCACTGTATGGACACTCCCACCCCTTGCAACAGTGGGGCTCACTCAATGGGTCCATTGTGGTAGATGCTAGCCCAGAAAGTTCTGTGCATGTGTGGCACCATCTCCTGCAAACACCCCTGAGAGGTCATTCCTGATTTCTACTGCTACAGAGATCCTGAAGAGATCCACACCCTATGTGCCTGTTCAGCAGTTTCCTACTGAAGACTGGAGCACTCAGCCTGCCCCTGAAGCCTGCAGCCCCCACTGCACAGACCACTGAGTGATAGCAACAACCACTGGTCTTAAGCTGTTCTCCTACAGACTCTCAACAGAATGGAAATCAGGTTGATGGAAAATAGTGGGTTTTTTTTTTAAAGTAAGCAGTCATGCCTTGACTGGGATGGCTCAAGTTGATTGGGTATCATCTTGCAAAGCGAAAGGTCATGGGTTCGATTTCCAGTCAGGACACATGCCTAGGTTGCTGGTTTGGTCCCCAGTCAGGGCACATACAAGAGGTAACAGATTGATGTTTCTCTCTCATGCCAATATTTCTCTCCCTCTTTCTTCCTCCCTCCCCCTCTCTAAAAAAAATAAGTAAATAAAAAATAAAAGTGCTAAGTCATGCTGGTGGTATGTACCCGATATGACCTGGTAAGAAAGGCACCTCACCTCTGGGCTTTCTCCCCCAGAACCCATAACCCCAGCCTACTGATGAGGAAACCATCAGAAAATTCCCAACTGAGGGACATTCTACAAAACACCTCATCCATACTCCTCACAAATAATGAGGAAAGTACAAGAAATTCTCATAGTCAAGGGGCACTAAGGAGACAACTACCTGTAATGCTGGGTGGACCCCCACAACAGAAAAGGGACATTAGGTAAAACTAAGGAACTCTGAATAAAGCATGGCTTTTAGTTATAAAAATCTATTAATATTCGTTCATTAATTATGAGAAATATACCACACTATCCTAAGATGATAAGGAAACCAGAAGTAGGGTACATTGAAACTATGTTATCTTGATAATTTTTCTGTAAATCTAAAACAATTCTAAAATTCAGGGGTTTTTTAATGCAAAAGTACAATTTTTATTATGGGTTTAAAAAATACTTAAAATCCAAGTTTTTCTGAGCAAACAAAATTTCTGAATTATAATGAAGCCACATAAAAATATATTCACATATTTTTATTTTAAAAAATAGTTTAGGCATCATATATTAGAGGAGATCTTATTATGTCTGATTTTTCTAAATTTTATAAAAATCAAGTAACTTTTTGCCTCTTGTCTCTCCTTCTAATGCATAATAGATTTATAATGGGAATCAGCCTCAGTTCCTCCTTAGTGTTACAACTAAGTGTATGAGAAATATAATATTCCCAATGGCATTTAGAAAACTGTTGAAGTAGTTGCATGGTGATGCCACCACTGTCACAGCATTCAAAAGGGTCTGTCAGCTTAAAGGTCAATTCCAAGGCTGATGGAATGGGGGGGGGGACAGAAAAGTAGCAATAATACCACAGGAAGTGAATTGAAGTCTCATGGTAAAAGACAGTGGTTCTTCTTTTTTATAAACACATTCCATCTGCACCTGTAATTCATCTCAAACCACTTTTAAAAACACAAACAAGCTGCCAAAGTATTTGTCTCTGCCGGGCTGCCAGAACCCCATCACTGATCACTGAGGAAGAGAATCAGGGTGTCCTTCCAGAATCAGGAGCTCCTGCTTGAGGGCCTGTCTGGGCTCCTAGAGGCCAGTGCCCACCCTACTACAGTCTCTGCCCACCCACTGTCAAATGAAAAATAAAACTGGATTTAGCAAGGGGAGACTTATTTGAAAGGATGATTGCAAGAGGGGACAGGGACTACTGCAATAGAGAATGCCATGACCAAGGTCAGCACATGTCTCAAGGGTTAGGCAACAAGATGTTTTCTTTCATATGGAGAGAACACAGCGAGAAAGGACTAGGGAGTAGGATGAAAGGATGGCATGATGGGACAGTACCCTGAAGCCAGCCTGTTCTCAGGAGGGGCTGTCTACTGGCTCAGGCTGAGGGTGACGCAAAGTTCAGGGGCATGGAGGTAGGAGATATTCTAACCAGTTTTGTTAACAAACATTTTGCTGCAACTGATTAGCAGAGACAGGCAGTTCAGCTAATTATTGCTGAGGCAAAGAATGGAAATTTGAAGTCTGTAACTGACCTTTTCATAGGTAAACAAGGGGGAACATCCATGACTTACCTAAGTCACACAGAAGGGTGATTCTTTGCAGAGAGCGGGTTTTCTGGAACACAAAAGGGTGAGGGGAATTCCTTCAACCCTCACTGTTTTCCAGGAGCACAGAGCTCAGGCCAAATTTAATATTGTCACCACTCAACTGGGGATAATTAATAATTATAATAGTTATCTATGATTTTAATCTTTTAAGTACTTTGAAGGTGCCAGGTGCGTAGTAAATGTACTATAAATATGTTGATCTCATTTACCTGTGAAATGCTTGAGGGCAGGGGTTGAGTTGACTTTATGTTTTCTTTGATGCTAGTACGGTAACTAGAATCCACTGTTGAACTGGCCTTGAACAGGCCTCAGTCTCCCTATCTGTATATAAAATATAATAATCTCCACCTCACAGAGTTGTTGTGAAAATTAAATAACATGGAGTCCAAGGTGCCCAAATATCTGTCACATCTCTGGTGACCAGGGACAAAGACTCTCCTTGACCTAACTTTAGTCAGGCTCTTCCAATGAGTTTCAGCAAGAATCTTACTGGGTCTGTTTCACGAAAATCACCACCCTTGGTATATGATCAAATTCCCCATTCCTCATCCCTCAACCTTGATTTAGCATAATTCCCCTTACCCCTGACGCTTGCTCTTAATATTCCAATCCACTAGTTCAGACCCTGCTCCTTACCGACAAATCATCACTTGTATTCTAAGTGATGCCCCCTCTCTCCCCATCAAAATCCCACCCCCATTGCAGTATGTTCCTGAATCAAGCCTGTCTCGCCGTCTTTTACAACTGCTGTGAATAATTTAACACCAGTAAATGAATACTCTTCCCTTTTCTACCCAGAGTCCACACTCATAAGCAGAACTCTTCTAATGCCTCTGTTCAATCAATGTTGGCAGCGATGGGGAGTTGCCCAAAACCAAACCCCCAGGGGCGCCTACGCTCGGAGTCAGACAGGCAACCTGGCAGGAAGGCTCTGGTCTAAACATTGAAACCCAGTCTTTCTCACTCCTATCGGTTGCGGGAGCATCACCTAGGAGTTCAGACTCAGTATCTGTGACTTTCCAAAAGTACAGGTGTTTGGCCACTTTATTTCACCCACCTTAATCTAACCCTCTGTAATAACCTTAGTTGTTAAGGATTAGACAAAAAAAATGATGGCTGTGAAACAGCCGTCGCAGAGTAATCGCAGGCAGGACCCAAGTAACAGGAAAAACTGAAGAGGCCCAACCTTGGGCCTCCTCCGCCCTCCGGCCATTTAACCTAGGCAGGCGGGCGGCACCTTCCCCTCCTCCAGGCACGCCGTCCGACCAGACCAGCCGTGAGAGATCGATACACTTCGTGCAAGCGTCTGACAAGTTGGACAAGACAACCACCGTATTCGGACCAAAAGGAAGGAGTCGTCACTAGCCCCGCAACGACTCCGTCTGGTGCAAACGCGAGGAAGATCAGCTTGCGCTACTCCAGTGGGCGGACTGGCTCCCTGTACGCGGATGGGAGAACTGCGCAAGCGTCGCGTTAAGAAAACGAATCTCGAGAGGACTCGTGCTGGCGCTTTGGAAGGTTCGTCAAAGAAGACTCGGAGCTAGTGCCTGCGCTCTGAAAATGCAGATAGCACCTCGCCAACACTCCGTGCAGCGTTGAGTAGAAGAAACGCCCTGCGCATGTAGTGATTTAATTTCAGAATTTTGTTTTGCGCCTGCGTTAAGCTAGGCTGTTGTGCGCCTGCGCAGCTCTTGGTTTCGCGTGGGTTAAACTGTAGTGCTCGTTCCGCGTCTTTTATTTCTTCCTGGATAGTTGTGTCCGGTAGTTAGTTCAAGGCCTGGTGGATACGCTTGAGCATGGGGTTCAGAATGGCCCTTCAGAAATGAAGCCCCAGAGGAGGCTCCGGGAAGGGAAGGGGTGTGAGGTCTCCGGGGGGAGGGTAGCTGCGCCCTAGCGCGGCGCCGGGAAGGAGCACTGGGGGCCAACGCTCTGGACGCCTGAAGGACAGACCTTTCCGACTCGGTAAGAGTTAATTAGCATCGGTACCGCGTTATGCAGTCAGTATCAGGATGCAAAATAATGGTAAGTCATCCTGCTTATGGGTAACTGGGAGAGAGAAAGGGGTAGGGGCCACACCAACAAAGTGTTACAAAGCAGAAGGCGGTCGTCCACCCAGCCCTAGCTGAACCAGATACTAAACACGACAATTGCAATGGAGAAATACTGGTCATTTTATTGATCAGGAGTGGCATTCAGGAAAATGGGAAGTTACTGCTCAAAAGCAGGAGCGTGGTGGCGTGTAGGTTACAGATTAAATCAGGAGAAGTCAAAACACACTGGGTTAGGAGTTCCGGTAGTGCTGGGTCTTGATTGGTGGGAGGTGAGGCGAGGATAATGACTGAATCTTCGTGTATTGAGGATGTCTCAGGTCTTTTCCCTCTGTTCAGTCTGATGGGGAAGTAGCCAGGGAGTCATTCCATCTTATGGCTCAGGATCTGAAACATAGGTCAAGATGTTATCTTTATCCTGCCAGAGGTCCAGACCAGTGACCATTAGTCAAGTTCAGGCTACTGTCTTTTGCTGCATGGTGTGTGTGTGTATGTGTGTGTATGGCTGATGTGAGATTCCTGATTATCTAGGGGAAAGGCTAGGTAACTGGAGGGAATAGAGAGAGAGCTATGATTTCTAGAGCTAGGACTTAAAACTAAATTTATTCAAAGTATAAGCACCCTCGGTTTCAGAAGGTACCTTTTGCTGGTGAATTAAGCTTTCTGGAAGGTTTCACAGAGCTTTCTAGGAAGCTCTTGTTTTTTGCAGTCCCTGTGAGATACTGCCATAATAAAATTGAAGAAATCACCATTTGGGCAGCCTATTCCCAGAAAGCCAGGTAGAAGGGATAAATCGTGGATGTGGAGGGGAAGGTAGTCTCCTGGCCAGCTGCTCCAGGAGTGACTGTTCCAGGTCAGCCTGAGGTTTCTATTGGGCTCTCAGGGCTATTTCATAAGGTTGACCAGACATCCTCTGGGAATCGTATAAGATTCTCCGAGAAGCCATTTCACCCAACCAGTGTACACACTACTCTGGGAAGTGCCTTAGATTTTTAAAGATAATGTACGAGAATTCTGGGATGACTGGTGGTTTCCCAGAAGGTTTATCTTACAACCCACAGGAACCCATTTGGGCTGTTTACTAACAGCTAGTCAAGGGCAGGCTTACATTGCACACCCTGGATGGTGACCAATAAGAAGTTCTTTATAAAGTCCACAGTTAAAGGCAAGACAAAGGCACTCGGAGGTTAGCTCCGACAATCGTCATCTGTCCCCCTTCCCAGATTGTCATTTCATACCCCAACAAACAGACCTTTCTGTAAGAAGCCAAGACACAGACCACTGGGAAAAGCTATTTTATGTAACTTGTACCTGACCTTCCCCTGAAAGTTGGCATGGGGCCAATAAATGTAGCATTCTTGAAGGCTATAATCAGATTGAACATAGGACTCAATTTGCCTGGAATAATCCCAGTTTTTGACTTGTCCAGTCATTAAATATATATAAATAATCATAATTTTGAGCAGCAGAACCTATTCACATGTTAATACTTATACCTAAGGACTAGACTGCCACCCATATATAATGCCCAGGCTAATGCCACCAAAGGCACCAACTGTGATGTTTTTCCCTTCCAAATAGGTTTTATGTATTTCTAGGTTTCTTCCTAAGAGCTTAAGATCTCATTTTTTTAAGAGTTATTTTGTGTTTATTTTATTTTTTTAATTACTTTATTGTTGTTCAATTACAGTTGTCTGCATTTTCTCCCCACCATTTCCCCCACACACACCCCAGCCAAACCCACCTCCCTCCCTTGCTTCCACCTTTCCCCTTGGTTTTGCCCCCGTGTCCTTAATAGTAGTTCCTGAAAACCCTTCCCCCCATTGTCTCCTCCCCCTCTCCTCTGGCTATTGTTAGATTGTTCTTAATTTCAATGTCTCTGGTTATATTTTGTTTGCTTTTTCTTTTGTTGATTAGGTTCTAGTTAAAGGTGAGATCATATGGTATTTGTCTCTCGCCTCCTGGTGTATTTCACTTAGCATAATGCTCTCTAGTTCCATCCATGCTGTCGCAAAGCACGGCTCCTTTCTGTAAGAAGCCAAGACACAGACCACTGGGAAAAGCTATTTTATGTAACTTGTTACATAAAGAAAGAAGGAGTTCCTTCTTTCTTTCTGCTGCGTAGTATCCCATTGTGTAAATGTACCATAGCTTTTGGATCCACTCATTTGCTGATGAGCACTTAGGTTGCTTCCAGCACTTGGCTATTGTAAATTGTGCTGCTATGAACATTGGGGTGCATAGGTTCTTTTGGACTGGTGTTTCAGGGCTCTTAAGGTATAATCACAGCAGTAGAATTGCTGGGTCAAAAGGCATTTTTAGTTTTCTGAGGAAATTCCATACTGTTTTCCACAGTAGCTGCACCAGTCTGCATTCCCACCAACAGTACACTAGGGTTCCCTTTTCTCCACATCCTCTCCAACATTTGTTTGTTGATTTGTTTATGATGGCCATTCTGACTGATGTGAGGTAGTATCTCATTGTGGTTTTAATTTGCATCTCTCTGATGGCTAGTGATGCTGAGCATCTTTTCATATGTCCCTGGGCCCTTTGTATGTCCTCCTTGGAGAAGTGTCTATTCGGGTCTTTTGCCCATTTTTTAATTGGGTTTTTTGTCTTCCTGGAGTGGAGTCATGTCAGTTCTTTATATATTTTGGAGATCAAACCCTTGTCCAAGGTATCATTGGCAAATATGTTTTCCCACACAGTTGGTTCTCTTTCCACTTTAATGCTGTTTTCTTTAGCCATGCAGAAGCTTTATAATTTGGTGAGGTCCCATTTGTTTATTCTTTCCTTTATGTCCCTTGCTTTAGGGGACGTACCAGTGAAGATGTTGCTGTATGGAATGTCTGAGATTTTCCTGCCAATGTTCTCCTCTAGGACTTTAATGGTGTCACGGCTTATATTTAAGTCTTTTATCCACCTTGAATTTATTTGTGTATGGTGTAAGTTGGTGATCGAGTTTCATTATTTTGCATGTAACTATTCAGTTCTCCCAACACCATTTGTTGAAGAGGCTATTTTTACTCCATCTTATGTTACTGCACCCTTTGTTGAATATTAATCGACCATAGAGGCTTGGGTTTATTTCTGAGCTCTCCGTTCTGTTCCATTGGTCTCTGTGCCTGTTTTTCTGCCAGTACCAGGCTGTTTTGATTACAGTGGCCTTGTAGTACAGTTTGATATCAGGTATTGTGATCCCTCCTACTTTGTTCTTCTTTCTCAGAATTGCAGCTGCTATTTAGGTCGTTTATGGTTCCATACAAATTTTTGAAGTGTTTGTTTCATGTCTGTGAAATATGCCATTGGTACTTTAATAGGTATTGCATTGAATCTGTATATTGCTTTGGGTAGTATGGACATTTTGATGATGTTAATTCTTCCAATCCATGAACATGATACATGTTTCCATTTGTTTGTGTCTTCCTTGATTTCTTTCTTCAGTGTTGTGTAGTTTTCTGCATACAGGTCTTTTACCTCCTTGGTTAGCTTTATTCCTAGGTACTTTATTTTTCTTGTTGCTATATCAAATGGGATTTTTTTTCCCTGATTTCTGTTTCTAATATTTCATTATTGGTGTACCAACATGCCTTTGATTTCTGAATATTGACTTTGTATCCTGCTGTTTTGTCAAATTCATTTACTAGGTGGAGTAGTTTTTTGGTAGAGTCTACAGGATTTTCTATGTACACTAGGATCTCATTTTTTTAATAGCCTTAACTGAGTACCTACTGTGAGCCAGACTGCTTGGGGGCTCCAGGGATATGTGGAGAAATGTTCTCACCCTGGAAGAGCTCACGGGCTAGTACTGGGGAGAGAAACGTGTACCGTAAGCAGGCACTTGTGGCACATTGTGGCAACTGCTATAAAAGGAGCTCAGGGGCTTTTAGAACACAAAACGCTGTCAGAGAGTTTAGCAGGCTTCACACAGGGGATCACGGAAGGGCAGCCGAAACATGGGACAGGCGTTTGCCACAGAGGAGGGATGTGGGAAGTATTCCAGACAAGGACTGTACATGTTCCTCTACGAACAAATACTTACCTTGTGCCCACTGCATGCCTACTGTTGTGCCAGTCCCCGAAGGCAGTGGCGACCCCAGACAGGTGGGGCCCTGCCTTCATAGCAGAGAAGACCACTGCTAAAGAATCATCACAAGTGAGACCTGTGTTACAAAGGACAGCTGTAGGAACCTATAGGGGACCGAGTCTGTCCATAATCTCCCTCTCTCTATATATATATTTTTTAAATTTCAGTACACATTTTGGCCACTGGATGTCATCAGAGGTCTAGGGTTTTTTTAACCCCAGTTTTATGCTATCAAAATAAAATTGCATAGATTCAATTGTCCATCATGGTGTTTCGCTATAACTTTTATTTCTTACACCACCAGCCCTCAGACTAAGCTGGCAAGTGCACCTGATGGCCGAAGACAGCACCCGAGACGCCCGGCCGGGAACGGGGCCTCTCCAGGAGGCCCTCAGGGCACTGCTGCCCCGCACTAAAGAAGAACTGAAGTTGGACCTCAGTGACAGTGTGCATAGGAGTGTGCTCATTCTGTTGCAGCAAGCCACCAACCTCTTCTATGAGGGCAGAAGGAGCGAGTGTCTGCAGACTAGCGAGGCACTCCTTGACTACTCCTGGGAGAAACTCAATACTGGGGTGTGGCGGGACGTGGGCAAAGACTGGCGTCGGGTTTATTCCTTCAGCTGCCTTCTGAAAACCATGTGTCTTTGTGAAACACCTGGGGACACTGCCAGCGTGGCTACAGCCCTGAAGGTCTGTGACATGGGCCTGCTGATGGGGGCAGCCATCCTTGGGGACATCCTCAGTAAAGCCGCTGCCGTCCTTCAGTCACACCTGCTGTCTGGAAAAAGGCCTGCCCAAGGCCCAACCCAGGAGCAGCCTGGCACAAAGGTATCTTGGTGGGATTGTCAGTGACCACACCCAATGTCATCCAGCAGCCCTGTTTTTCTAGAAGTAACAAGTCATCTCTTTCCTGAAGTGAGTGCTCAGCATGCTGACCTCTCTGGCTGAAAATAGTGTCCCCATTGATTTGGAAGTGGAACAGCTCCATCTGTTTTCTCAGTTTTTTCCTCCCATTTCTGCAGAAGCAGTACCCGTTCAGGGGAGAGGAAGGGTGGCAGCGTTGTTGTTCCTGAGAGAGGCAGCTCAGAGGGATGGTAGAGGCGGTGACCTTTCCTGGACAGCTGGTTGCACTATCACCCACATTTCCGGCAGCTCTGCCTCCGCACTGCTGCGTTCGGGTGAGGCGCCACAACCAGCTCTCTCCTGTGCATGCGATTGATCAGTCCTGCCCTTACATCCTTGCACATGTTCCTACCGGAATTTAAGTGCACGTGGCAAAGCACACCCTCAGTCACTGAGCATGGTTTGCTGAGAAGGCTTCGAACCCCACAAGGAGGAAACAGATAAAGAGGTGTGAGAAAATGTTCAACCTCATCTTTGGTTTTTAAAAAAATGCAAAAACAGGCAGTCATTTATAGCTATGAAATCATCAAGTGAGATTTTGCACAATACCCAGTGTTACCCAGGGTCCCATGAAGCTAAGGACATGGTGCGTTGATTGACCTAACAGAGGGCAGGGCAGATATGGAGATCAGGGGACAAATACCTGTTCCCTTTCCTATGCTAAGTCTGTCCCAGGGGCATAGGGAGCAGGCTTTGTGCCCAGGGTGGTACTCAAGGTGGGTGGTGTCGGACAGTGGACATAGCTACCGGGCTGAGAGCTCAGGCTCTGGAGCCAGCCTGCCTGGGCTCAAGTTCCCACACTGCCGTCCACTGCCTGTGAGTCAGTGCAGTAGCCCCTCCACGTCCACTCTGTTTTCTTGCTTGTGAGAGGGGGTTTGCTCAGCAGCTTTATTGAGCACCAGCAGTGGCCCAAATGTGCCAGCTGCTAGGTGATGGTACAGAAGGGCCCAGACCCTATCCTTCACTTACCGTCTAGTGGGGCTGTAAAAGGCTGGGGGAAGCAGCTTCATGGAAGGTGGTCAGGGAGGGCTTCTTCAATAAGGGATACGTGAGCATAAGAGATAGAGGGTGTGACAGAGAAGGGAAAGACAGGTATGCGACCTAGCACATCGCCTGCAGGTAAGGATGTTAGCTGCCAGTGCTGCAGATGTCGAGGACTGGTTTGGGGTCCAGCACTGGGGGCAGAGGGTCCTGACACATACATGCCAGGGGGTCAGTACTGTACTTGAGAGCTTGTCTCCCAGTAGTTTCACAGACAAGGAAACTGAAGCTCAGACACAGTAACTTACTCAGGTCAGTCAGTTGAGAATGGTTAAGTAAATTGTGGTGCCACCAGTCTTGAGTCATTGCAAGGACGGGTGGTAACAGAGAAACTGCTACAGTTAAATTATTGGATGGGAGAGGTAGAGTCGTTTATTCATCATGAGTATTACTGCCCATGGGCCGGGGATGTGTCTATGAGAAGGTGGGAAAGGAACTTGGGAATGAGAAGGAATACTGTATGTCCGGTGGTGGAGTGCGGGATACTAAGTTTTCCTCAACTGCAGTATTTCTGTGAAAGTAACATACTGCTTTTATAATTGAACAAACATTTGAAATGATCTGGTAAAGAAAAAAATATCTTGCTCTGAAGAGAAGTAAACAGTAGTAGTAGCGCAGTCAGTAATAATGATAATAAATGTTAAGTATCTTTGTAATTAAAGACATCTAAGCTTTTCTACCATTAATACAAATTCCTAGAATGTCTCAAGTGTTGCCTTTCCTTTGTGGTTACCATTTTGCTTTGTTCTGATTTTAAACAGAAAGCCAGGAATGGCCACGCTTCGATTCCAGATATAAGGTCAGAAGAAGCAGTTCCCCGGCTTCACTGTCCATCCCTCCAGTATTTCAGGGAACATCATTTGGTTCCACAGAGGCCTGTGATTTTAGAAGGCGTGGCCGACCACTGGCCATGCATGAAGAAGTGGAGGTGGGTGGCTGCTGAAAGCCAGAGGTTCTCCCTCCCGTTTTAGCATCCCCAAAGACTCCTTGTACTCTCCCCCCACCACTCCCCAACTAAACACAACCCCTGGACACATCACTACCAATCCCTGGGGTGGGTGGCCAAGGAAAAAGAACTGGCAGCCAGTGCTCTGGATCTACACCAGATCTAAGACTCTTACCTCCTTCCACTTGCTCGCCCTAAGCCATTTTTAATGAGGGCTTCAGGGACAGGCCAGTATTAAGTCTATTATGCAGTTTTATAAGATCTTAGGAATTCTGTGTACTCTCTCAGGGGCCCTGACGCTTCAGAGCAGAAAAAACCCCAAGAGATGGCCACGTGCCCTTCTTTAGGGGGCCCGTGGGCTCTTGTGTTTGCTTTCTCCTCACACCTGCTTCTAGTTAGTTCCACCTCAGACTCAGGAGAGACAGGTCAGATCAGGCAGCTGGTGAGTGGCCATGATGCAGTAGCTGTGCATAATTTTGGAAAGGAGTGGTGATCTCCAAGGAAGCCTGTCTTACAGTGGTAGCCTTGTGGGGGGAGTGGCTTCCACTAAAACTGAGGAGGAATTCTGACTGCAGGCGCCATCATCCCAGCAAATGTGCAATATGTGTTTTACTGTGTATCAGGTGTGTTACATGTCTTACTAAATACCAGGTGCCAAGGTTAGGCACTTGCCACGTTTTCTCTGTCTTTATCCTCCCTGGTTCCTATGGGACAGGCCCTCACCAATACCATTTTGCAGTGGCCAACAAATGCTCAGAGAGGTTAAGAAACTTGCTGGAGATCCCTCAGACTATAACAGGCAGGGTCCGGAGTCAGTGCCGGGCCTTCAGAGTTGAGAACCCAGGCACTTCGGCAACCCCTGCACTGTCAGCCACCTACTCAGCACAGTGACAGGGCCGGCAAAGAGAGAAGGCCCTTGGCAAGCGGGAGAATAGGGCCTCCAGCCAGAACTGTAGCAGAAGAGATGTACTGGGTCTGTCTACCAAGCTGCCCAGCACCAGGTGGGCTAGGAACCTCACCTCCCGGTGCCTGAGTTGCCTCATCAGTAAGGTGGGGGATAACGTAGTCTCCACTTCGTGAGACTTTGTGATGAAGAAAGAGACCACATAGAGCATGGGTAGCAGAGTGCCCAGCAAGCACTAGCAATACTGATGAAATGATGATGCACATTTTTCTAATAGTTTGGAGTATATCCAGGAGATTGCTGGCTGCCGCACAGTCCCGGTGGAAGTTGGCTCCAGGTACACAGATGAGGATTGGTCCCAGAGACTCATGACGGTCAGTGAGTTCATCAGCAGGTACATCCTGAATGAGGTATGTCATTGTGATTCCTTTCTCCTTAGAGTTACAACGGGCGAACACATTACATTTGGGCAAATAACCTCCATGGATCACACTGGAAGGTTTTGGAGTAGTCAGTCTTTAAGAGTCTTCTTGGTCAGTAGGCTGGCCAGTGCCAGGAAGGCAGGCTGCTGGGCAGACAGGTAGGCGGACGTGGTGTGAGGGACTCATTTCAGAAACTTTTTTGTTGTTGTACATTTCAGTGCTCTTGAATATATTCTGAGATTATGCAACTGTCACTACTATGTAATTCCAGAACATTTTCATCACCCCAAAAGAAACCTTAAACTAAGTACTACTCACACCTCACTGCCTTCCCCAGGCAACTACTGAGCTTCTTACTGTCTCTATGGATTGGCCATTTCTGGGCGTTTGATATAAATGGAATCACCTAATCTGTGGCCTCCTGTGTCTGGCTTCTGTCACTGAGTATCATGTTTTCAAGTTCGTACGTGTTGTGGCGTTTATCAGTATTGTACTTTACCCCCGTTACGGCTGAGTAATATTCCATTTTATGGGTAGACCTCATTTTGTTCATCCATTGATCTGTTTAAGGCCATTTGAGTTGTGTGCTCTTTTGCCTGGTATGAACGATACTACTGTGAACATTCTGTACAAGTTTTTGTGTGGACAAATGTTTGTTTCTTTTAGGTATATACTAAGTGATTTTGCTGGTAACTTCATGTGGTAGCTCTGTGTTTAACCTTTTGAGGAACTCCCAAACTGTTTTCCAAAGCAGCTATATCATTTTTATCATTTCAGATTCTCAACAGTGAGGGCCTGGGGTGGTTTCCTCTCCTGACACTGGGTGGCAGAGAATGTAGATTGTCTGCCTGCAGTACCTGAACCATCCCTACTGGCTGGGAACAAAGGGAGCCTGGAAGTGGGTGCACAGACCCTCTAGGGGAAGGTTACCCATGCAGCATCTGTGGTGGGCAGGGTCTTTCATGAGGTGTGGAAGTTAGCATCCGTGCTTTGCAGTTCTTCCACACACTCACGACGGCCTGCCGCCTGCACCTCGACTCTGTAAAGCTCTGACCAGATTTGGTCATGGATCCGCTGCAGTAAATGGGTCCAGGTCAGTGACCATGGGAGCTAACAGTTTCTTCTGTCAGCCTTCTTAACATTGTGACCGAACCCCTGAGGGACCACCCCATTACCCTTCCTGACCCCATCTCTTGCACTCCTGAAGTTCCAGGCCCCTGCACAGGTACTCGGTGCAGTTCCCTGAGCTGTGGGTTCCTCCATCAGTGCTCTCAGGTGTCTTTCTCTGTTTCTCCTGCACTCCTCCCTCCCCCACCTCTGCTCAATTTGCTGTCACCTGGGACCTGGAAATGGGAGCCGTGGACTAGAGATGCCCCATGTTGCCATGTCCCTTCTGCTCGTAAACATAAACCCAGCTCAGAGATCCCTGCTGTCTCACTCTGCTGGGATGGGAAGAAGCCTGAGGCATTTTGTGGAGCAGGTGGGATGGGCACTTTGGAGTCAGGCCGGACAGCACTGGATCCTGCACTGGCCCTTGCTTGCTCTGTGTCCTTGGCTGGTTACTTAACCTCTCAGATCTTCAGTGTCCTAACTTCTGGTTAGTTAGGGTTGGTTGGGGTTAATTAGTCAGGAGTTACTGATGCTTCATAGGGTCATTGTGAGAATAACACACAAAGCTAATAAGCACAGGGTACCTAGCTGTCAGCTACTGTCAGCAGTTAATGTCCTCTGACCAGGATGTCTGGGAGGGCAGAGGCCATGTCAGATCTGGCTCTGCACAGTCCTTAGCACAGGCTCTGGCATTCTGTAAACTCTTAACATTTGTTGGAAAGAAGAGGGAATGAAGGAGAGAGATAGAAAGATAGATTTTTGAGGCATCTTGGAGGAGCCTTATTTAACTTCAACACTGCATCAGCCTCAGAGCAGTTAGACCCAAACCAGCCCCACCCAGAGAGTTGGAGGCCGGCGTCGGGCACCCCTCCTCCCAGGCCCACTGGTCCTTGCAGAGGCCCTCGGGCTCCTCCCGACTCAGGGTCCAGCCCTCAGCACCATGGAGCCCTGTGTGGAAAGCACAGACCTTCTTACCTACCAGAGTGGCAGGAGTTTTCACCAAATGATAATCTCCAAAGATTAATTGCCAGAAAGAGTGTAAATAATCTAACATTGGGGAAAGTAACCTGGCAGAAGCTATGAAAATTTAAAATGCACATACTCCTTGACCCAGATGTTCTGCTTTTGGACACACATAAATAAGAGGACCAGATTAGACTGTTTATTGAAACGCTGGCAGAGCAACCCCACTGCCCACCAGTAGGGGGAGAGGTGCGTTGATAACCATGTATGTATCTGTCCGTAAAATGTGCGTCCAATCGGAAGAATGACTCTGACACACATGTGGCGACTTGGAGATGTTTTTGCTGTATCATTAAATGAAAAAAGCAGATTTCAGAGTCATGTATAGTATGATTCCATGTTTATTTTTAAAATGTATTATACGTGTACAGCCCCTTCATTTTTTCCCAAGATGATGTTAAATAGTTTATTGATGATATATGATACTGGACAATACCCAAGCTTTATTCCCATCTATCATTTCATCTGGCACCATAACTCAATTAGATATATTGCTTAGGACGTGCCAACAGTCATTACTTACCAAGCAAACCCCATGACTCTGCTCGGGTGCCCCTTTTAATGGTGAGCCCCAGGTCACAGCACAGGAACTGTTCGTTACACTGCACCAGGGCTTCTGGAAACAGTGGCTTGTTGGCCCAGGTGGACTGTAAACAAGTTTCCGGTGGAACCTAGCATCACCCTGAAGGAATTCCAACTTCACACTGTTGGGGTGATTTACCAAGGCGGCTTCAGAGTAGGCTGACTTTACACAGCACATTTTTAAAAAGTATTATGTATTCTTTTGAAAAGTAAAAAGATAATGTATTCAGAGTCATGATCAGACTATTACATTTAACAATCAATAGCATGGGTGCAAAAAGAAAAAGAGAACTACATTAAAAACCCTTTGTTGGAATGCTTTACACTTTCCACAGCACAGAAACTAAAATAATGTGCTATACAATTAGTCACAAATACAGTCCTCAAGTTTTTTGCCCACTCACATGAGTCTTGTCTAAAACACGTCTCTTCTGTGGCAGCGAGGCCCTGCCACCCCTGTGCTTGGCTCCGACCACCAATCTGCCGTCACCTGGAGCCGCCCTGTCACTTCTCGGCTCCTCTCCTGCTGAGCTTGTTTCCTGGCAGCGATTAAAACCCGTGCCACTGACACAGCTGCTGCTGGAACCGCCACAGCCACCTGGGTTTCGTGGTTTGGTAGAGTATTGGCCTCCGCCACCACGGGGGCCAGAGCATCTGCCTCCAAAGTTTCCTCCTTTCATGGGTCCACAATTTGCTGATTGGTTTTGTGATCTCCAGAATCATGGTACCTTCCGCCACCTCCCAGATTGCTTCCATCATTACCAAGTTCATGATAGCCACCCCCACTGCCACCACACCCACCACCACGGCTACCACCAAAGCCACCTCGACCGTCCATGACCAAAGTTGTCATTCCCACCAGAACCACCTTCACGACCACCTCTGAGGCTGCCAGCACCAGTTCGACCTCCTTGGCTGGATGAAGCACTAGGGGCTTTCCTTCCCTCACAGCTGTGGCCGTTCACAGTACGGTATTTCTCAACGACAGTCTTGTCTACAGAGTCATGGTCATCAAAGGTTACGAAAGTGAAGCCTCCCTTTTTGCAGCTGCCTCGGTCATTCGTGATTTCAGTCACTTCACTTTTCCCACACAGTTCAAAACAATCTCTTAGGTGCTGTTCTTCAGTGTCTTCTTTAATATCACCGACAAAAATTTTCACAGTGAAGTGGGCGCCCGGTCTTTGAGAATCTTCTCTTGAGACAGCCCTCCCCGGTTCCTCAGCTCTCCCAGCCACCTTGTGTCCCCCAGTGCGTCCCCCACGGCGTCCCCCCACTGCGTCCCCTCCTCCACGGGGGCAACATGACAAACCCAGAGCCCCTGCAGCGCTCGATGTTTGGATCTCATCGCCGCACAGTTCGTGAGCACCCCTGTTGCTCACCACGGCTCCTCAGACTCTCGTCTGTTGTTTCAAAGCTCAAACCTCCGATAAAGAGCTTCTGCAGCTGTTCTAGTTTCTTTGGGAGACTGACTTAGGCATGACAACCACGGGAGGGGAGATTTTTTCTAAATTGATTTTCAGAGAAGTAGAAGTATTGATTTGTTGTTTCACTTATTTATGCATCCATCGGTTGCTTCTTGTATGTACCCCAACTGCATATATAACCCTCAGCCTTGGCATATTGGGACAATGCTCTAATCAACTGAGCTCCACGGCCAGGGCAGGAGGGGTGACCTTAATGATGCTTACTTAGCGGCATCCACTGGCAGAAAGAAGTGATCTAACGCGTGAATCTGCCCCTTCAGCCCTGGATCACAGGGTGACAGACTCCAGGCACCCTCTGTGGCAGAGGCAGCACCAGATCTTGAGTCTCCCCAGTCGGCAGTCTTGCTCATCAGAGAGTTGATCACATTAGCTGCTGGGTGGGAGAGGAGGGCCCTCCGGGTGGCTGTCCAGGCCTGGGGCAGTAGCGTGTGGGTGCTGAGAGCCAGCTAGCCCCTGGAAGGTGTCCATCACCACTAACGGGCTTTCTGTGTCTGGTTTTTCTCCCATGAATTAGCCAAAGGACGTCGGGTACCTGGCCCAGCACCAGCTCTTTGACCAGGTAAGTCTGAGACCACACACCTCTGGCCTTCTCTCTCTTGGCTCCCCTCCTCCTTCCTGGGCTCTGACCCCAAAGGGCAGCAAAGGGAGAGCAGCCTTGTTTGCCGCCCACTGGTGCTGCTCCCTGTGGTGAGCAGGGTGGCACTCTGTGCATCGCCCGGCTCCCTCCTCACCAGCCAGCAGCAGGAGAGCAGGGAAGGCCACCAGGCCTGAGAGCTGGGCCTGCTGAGCCTGGGGCCCCAGGACTGAGGGTGGGGGTGGGCCCACAAGCACCAGAGTGACCTCTGGGGTGTGAGTCAGAAGTCCAGCTGTGGTCAGAACAGGCAGGCAAGGGTGACAGACTCTGACCTGACCCAGAAGAAGTGAGTTCGCTGCCTTCCTTGTAACAGAGCTCTGGGGAAATCCTGGCGCTGCCCTGACCACATCTGCCCTGAGCACATGTCTCCCAGCAGGGCCGTCTCCCCACCCCTGGGTGTGCATGCTCCTGGCAGGGGCCAGATTCCATTCTCTGGGTACCCAGCCCTGGTGGGCCAGATTAAAGGTCCTCAGGACACACTTGTTGAAGAATAAGAGCAAGGGGCTTGGGCGAGAGGACACTCCCAGTGAGCGCCACCCCACACCCTAGAGGAGCCCCAGAGGGCCGAATGGGATAGACCCGTGCGCAGCGGGGTGTTGACCAGCCTAAGGGGATTTGTCCAGAATCACAGCAAGGAGAAGGCAAAGATGGGAGCTGGGACCAAGCTGGGGAGGATGTTAAATGCCAGGCCAAGAACTTGGATTTATCTGGGATTTATCCCAGTGTGATGGGGAGAGGAGCTTAGTGAGGTTTCTAGTAGGAGGATTCCCAGTAAGGTGGTGTTTGCAGAAGAATCCAGTGGGACAGATGGGGAACTTGTGAGGGACAGTGACTGGGGACAAGCAGAGAGACAAAGCACAAATTGCAGAAGTACCGCTCTAGCTCTTTCTCTGTCACAAATCAGCCCCCATGAACAGACATCAGAGTGTGGCCCAGCCAGCACTGGCATCGCTGGAGCTTTCAACGAAGCAGGCTCCACCCCAGGGCCTGGTGACTGGGCCCAAGGTGACCGGGGCTCTGTACCGCCAAACGCAGAGCTCACAAAGCAGTCTTGGGAGCTCAGGGACCGCCTGGCTGTGGGAAGTGAGAAAACCAGGGTGCGGGGCTCTGTAAAGAATGCTCCTAGCTGTGCTAAAGACAGGAGAAATGTGGGTGGTGAGTGGTTTTTCCTTCTCATTTCTGCAGTCTCCAACTTATCTGTGACTAGACATTCATCATGAGGAAAAAACAGACTATTTTTAAATGCAAACAAAACAAGAACAAAGTGTGGCAGGAATCAGATTGTGCTCCCATGTTTTCAGAGCTGTCTAGTTAGGACACTGGAGCAGTCAGAGGAATCCTCGTCCTGGGGAAATAATTGAGCAGTTTGGCTCTCTCTCCAGTCCCTTTCCCCAGTCCTCACTCAGCTCTTCACTCAGTATTCGGGGTGTAGCTGGAGCAGGGCCATGGGGCATGGCAGGAGTGGGCTTCGTAGGCCCCTGTGCACCCAGCGCTGGGCTCTGCCCTGGGGTACAGGGCTGAAGAACGCAGAGTCACTCCCTGACCAGTGGGCCTGAAAACCAACACATTAGATGGTGATGAATGATTCAAGGAAGATAAGAGGTGGCCTTACAGAAGGCAGCTGGGCAGGAGAGAGGGCTCTTTGGACCAGGTAGTCCAAACATGCCTCAAGGCATGGAAAATGCCTCAAGAAGGTCACATTTGAGCAGTGACTCAGAAGAAGAGCAGTGGCCAGTCATGTGTGAAGGTAAGAAGGGACGAGCTGGCTAGGAGGGCAACAGGAGTGAACTTTCACCTTCAGGGGGGCACAAAAGTTCCGCATTGCTGGAGCCCAGTACGTGAGGGGCCAGGAGTAGCAGATGGAGTCCCAAGAAGTAGGTGGGTGAGGAAGGTGGTTTTCTGAATGAGATTGGAAACCGGAGGGTGATGTTTCCAGCATCTCTGGCCACTTTCTGGAGGTGAACTTAGTGTGGGCAGGTGTGGTGGCAGGGGGACCGTGAGGAAGCAGCTGCAATGGTCCAGAGATAGCTGATGCCATGGAGATGGAAAGGCTGGCACTGGACGTTGGTGGGTGGGCAGAAGTCAAGGGAAAGTAAGCAATCAAAGAAGAAGCCTAGATTTGGGAGTCAACCAACTCGTTAGATGAAGCCGAGGAGTCCAGGAGAGGCTGCTGGTGTGGTCTCAGCCAGGCCAGAGACACTCAGACTCGGGGTCAGCAGCAGTGCCCAGGGAGGGCAGCTCTTGGCAGGAAGTGAGGCCAGGCAGAGCCAGTCCAAGCATGAGTTAGGCCCACTTGCCAGATCTGCCGTGTCCACTGCTGAGGCCGGGGTTGCCCTCACTGACTGTCCTGGCCAGGGTTGGAGCGGGCGGGTAATCCTAGGCTCAGATGGGGCTGTGCCAGCAGCTTCCAGGAGGGGTGGGCACGTGGGGCTGGCTGGGCTTCAGTATCTTCCTTTACCAGGCCTCCCACATTAGGACTTAGAGGTTCTGCCTCCTGAACTCTGTTGCTAAGAAGAAAAGGAGGATTCTAATTGGTCAGCCTTTGCTGTGTGATTCCCAGAGATCAGCCTTTTCCCTGACCTCAGCCACACTGGGCACAGCCTCCCAGGGGCACTTGGAAGCCACCAGTAAATTTGGCTCCCTGCCCTGGAAGACCCATCAATCCATGTGACCAGAACAAGCAAGCCATTTTAGAAGGCAAAGTTTGTGATTATCTTGAAGATGTTTTGCCTATTACAGAGCCACCAGAGTCTTTACCTGGGGTCCCCAGAGGTGTTTTCATCTCTGCTGTTGAGGGCGCCTTAGGGGAAAGTCTGAGCAACCGGGCACGGAATGTCATGGGGCCGCGGGGCAGAAGGTGTGGGCAGGCCTCCGCGCTGCTTTCCGGGCCTTCCCTGCCCACTCGCAGCTCAGTGGCTCCCACTGAAAACCTCTTGCCCAAAACTCTCTACTGACTTTCCTCTCAGAGACCCCATGTTTTACAATATTTTGGCTTCTACACGAGTCCTACATCAATTTTTGGTCACATGTGGGAGCCTTTCTTCTCTTGGGGTCTCTGAAACCTTGGCCATTGTTCTGCTTGCATCCACCAGTCCCTGGGAAAGCCCAGTGATCGGGAACCGATCAGCCAGGCAGCACCCTGCAGGGCCAGGTGCGGTGCAACGCCCTGGCAGGAGGTTCCCAGAGGTCTTTCCGGATCTTGCACAGAGCTTGAAGACCCAGGGGCCTTCTACTCTAAGCAGTGGACACAGCATTTCTGTATTTCTACACAGGCTTGAGATAGACCTCAAGTACAGAATGGCAGCATCTGTCAAGACTGCGTGCAGGAGAACATTCCAGCCATTTTTGTTGTTTGATTGTTTTTTAATTTTTATTTAGTTAGTTAGTTTTGAGAGAGAGACATTGATTTGTTGTTCCACTTGTTTATGTATTCATTGGTTGATTCTTGTATGTGCCCTGACCAGGGATCAAACCAGCAACCTTGGCATGTTGGGACAGCTCTCTACCCAACTGAGCTACCTGGCCAGGGCTTGATCAGTACTTTCTTAACTAGCATCCTGAACTCACAGTAGCTGCTACTGGAGGAATAGCCAGTCTCCATGTCGGTATCCCTTCGTCCCAGTGGGTGCTTAGTCTGAAAATACTTGAGTAGAGTAGCAGAGGCAGTTGCCCCCTACAACCCTGTTTTCATGCCTCTGAAGCTTGAAAAATGCCACTGGATTCAGAGAGTGTCCAAACAGGAGGGGTCCAGACACCCTAAGGTGGGGGCCGGAGGCTGGCTCTGGCAGGTGCAGCACCGAGTTGCCCTCTGAAGGTCAGGTCAGGAAGTGGGTTTGTTCTGGGTGGGTTGTGTCTTCTCTGAGCTACTGGCTGGTTCTTTCCAACTGAGGCCAAGAGCACCGCAGCCCTGCCCTACCCTGAACCTCCAACACTGCCTGCTGTGCTAACAAATGGCCCTGAGGTTTTGAGAAATTAAATAGAAACTTAAATCTGGTCCCTAAAAGAATCACAGCTGTTAAAGCCATAAAGGTAAATAAATCAGATTGTGAGCATAAAATGGTCAGTGAACTTGAAAGGAAAACGTCCAAGAGGTGGCCTCCCCCTCACTGCACTGGGCACACACCTGGGCTGGCCTGCCTGTCTCATCAGATGGTCTCTGTGTCTGGCCTGTTCCCGCTGGCTTTTGAAACATCTGTACCCACCGCAGCTTTTCAAAGGAGGAAGTCAAGAATCCACTCTTCGATTTTAGGCGTCCTCTTGGTTCATCCTCCCCCTGAGACAAAGATGTCAGATCACCTCGGCCCAAAACTGGGTGAGGGGGTGGGTAGGGTCTAGGGTAAAAAAGCACTAGAGCGGAAACAATGCTTGCAGTCCCAAAGTACACCTTTTCAGACACGTGGACACCAGAAAAGATGTCACACGTTGACACTGCCCAGGGCTGGCAGCCGACAGCGCCTGCTCTCTCGTGCAGCCTCCCCCATTCTGTGAGCTGGAACATCAGCCTCCTTGAGGGGCTCCAGCCCTCCACAGCGAGGAGGGCTGCGCAAGACCACTTCCATCTGGGGTGGAGAAGTGCGAACACTTCTGAAGACTTGTGCACACTCCCACATTGTATCCGCACGGCTTCACCCCCGATGCACCGCGGCCCTGCAGGAGAGTGCCCCTCCCACCGGTCCTCCCACCCCTCCCACCCCTGGGCATCACCGCTGTTTCAGCCTCTGCTAATTTGAATCCAGGAAAGGACGGCATTTCATTTGCACTCCTTTGCTAATGGGACTGAACCCTTACCTTGTATCGAATTCATTTTTATGTATTATCTCATTTTTGTCCTGCGTATTGGGATCCTTATTATTTTGTATGAACTATGTGCATTAATCCTTATTTACAGGAGTTAGTTTAAGTAGGTTTCTTAGTCTCTTGGACTGTATAATTAATTTACTTAACACGTGCCAGTTGTCATTGCTTTACCATTAGTAAATTTGGAAACTCCAGAGATTTGATAGTCAATCCCATTTTTTTGTTTGTTCCTTAATTTGATTTTTGATTTTGTAAAATAATTAACTCTAGAAAATTACCAGCTGGTTTATCATTTTGTTTGTTTTATTTTTCTTTTTTAATTAATCTTGGAGAGAGAGAAATATCGATTTGTTGTTCCACTTATTCATTGGTTGCTTTTTGTATGTACCCTGACCGGGGATCAAACCCGCAACCTTGGTATTTTGAGATGATGCTCTAACCAACTAAGCTGCCTGGCCAGGGCTCAACTGGTTTATCTTTAAGTACAAATACAAAGTACTTGTATCAGTTTTATTAAAAAGGAAACAAAGTGCATATGACATGGAAACAAGTCTGAAAATAAGATAACTTTTCTCTAGTATTATATATTTATTTTTAAATTGATTTTTAAGTTCCTGTTTAGCAACATGCGGATACAGTGTTGCTGCACAAGAGGACATTGCACATTTGGCCCTTCTGTCAGGTAGTCCTTTAACTTCTGGGCTGGTGGGCCCCACAGGCCCGGTCTCACCCTTCCCCGCCTGCTCTGCCGCCCACAGATCCCGGAGCTGAAGCAGGACATTGGCGTCCCTGACTACTGCTGCCTGGGCGACGGGGAGGAAGAAGAGATCACCGTCAATGCCTGGTTTGGGCCCCCGGGCACTGTCTCCCCACTTCATCAGGACCCCCAGCAAAACTTCCTGGTGCAGGTGGGAGTCACTGCAGAGCACGGACCTTCTCCCCATCCTGGCCCAGCCCCGCACCCCCACCACATTGCCCACCTTTACACACCAGAGAGAACCACTGGTGGCCATGGGCACAAATGAAAACAAGTGCTGCTGGACCTGGTGGGAGTGGGGGGGCATTGGGGGAGCTGCTTCCAGATGTGCTTCCTGGATGACCCAGCTCATCCTCTGGACCCCAGACCTCACCCCCACTGGGCAGGGCCAGCGCCACCTCCCACCTTGGGATGGGAGGGAGCCGAGTGTCCTCATGGCTGCCTCTGCCCCCCTCTCTCCCCCTGCCTGCTCTCCATCTGAACCAGGATGGCTTGTCCCTGCCAGAATCCTCTCTGCAAATGAGGAACAGATCCTTGGCCCCTCGATGGTTTTCCTGAGACCCAGAAGAGAGGCAGAGGGAGCAGCGCCTTGTAAAGCCACCTCAGTGTTTTCCTAAGCAGAGAGTTGAACAAATGAACATGTGCTGCCAGGCAGGTGGACCACGCCACAGAGCAGAGGCAGGCTGCGTGGTGGGGACCCCCGAGTCTCCACCTGTCAGCTGTGTAAACTTGGGCAGCTCACTTCCCCTCACTGGGCCCCAGTGTCTTCATCTGTAAGGTGGGGTGACAAACCACTTCCTTGTTGTGAGGATTACAGTTGATACACATAAGGCACTTAAACAGTGGATGTCACAGTCGAGGGATTAATTGTTGGCTGTAGTAACAAACTTGGTGATATATGATGTGTCTGGAGGAAAAACACCTTGGGACTGTAAGCATGTGTGCGGTGGGGTTGGGGCTGGCTGGGCACAGGGAACAGCGTGTGGGAAGGCTCAGAGAGGCAAGGAGGATGTGGGCTCAGGGACCTGCAGTCGGTATAGAGGCAGCAGTGGGGGTGCGGTCACCAGCCAGCTGGCCGACAGGGTCACTCTCTTCCCAGGTGCTCGGGAGGAAATACATCCGGCTGTATTCCCCACAAGAGTCAGAAGCTTTATACCCTCATGATTCGCACCTTCTTCATAACACAAGCCAGGTGGGACCCAGTGTGGCATTGCAGCCTCTCCCCCACCCCACTCCATTCCTGGAATCCAGGCAGATGGCTTCTCTTGCTTTTTTCAGGTTGACGTGGAGAATCCTGACTTGGAGAAGTTCCCTGGGTTTGCTGAGGCCCCATTCCTGTCCTGTGTCCTGTCTCCTGGAGAAATCCTGTTCATCCCTGTTAAATACTGGCATTATGTCCGAGCCCTGGACTTGAGTTTCTCAGTCAGCTTCTGGTGGTCCTAGCCAGGACGAGGGGCCTGCTCTGTGCCCACATGGCGTTGGGTCCTGGAATCTGGAGACAAGTTGCCTGAGCCTGTGTCCTGAAGAAGCCTTCACCGGGGGCCAGGCTGTGGCACTGGCCGGCACAGCGGAGTGCCCGGGCCAGCTGTGTGCATCGGAGGCAGGCAGGGGAGGCCCCGAGGGGCATTCCAGGCCACACTGTGAGTGGTGGGCATGGCGAGGCCCGAAGGGTGTGGGAAACAGGCAGGCGGCCTGTGCTCTGACATTGGCTGCCTGGGTTTAAAGCCAGCGCCGTTGCTTCGCTGCCGCGTGACTTTGGGCAGGTGTGTCCGTGTGAAACGGCAGCACTGCCCCTCATCACAGAGGGTTTGAAAGGGGAGCATGCGCAGAGCCCCTGCTGCTCCCCAGCCCCGCGACTGAAGAGAGGCAAGCATATCCCAACCGCTGACACCAAAAACGTCCCAGGCTCCTACTTACTGGGAGACTCACTGATTAGTGACATTTATGCAGCCTGTGTGGATTTGACAACATTTGTCACGCCAGGGCGTGAGGTAAACAGTAATCTGTTCCAAAGCAGTCAAAAGAAATTTTAAAAGCTTGTTGTAAACCTTTAAAAAAGTACAATTTTACTAATACTCAAATATAGGCAGTTAAAGCTACCAACTAAATTATAGCACCATTTTTAAAATATATTTTATTGATTATGCCAATACAGTTGTCCTATTTCCCCCTTTCATTCCCCTCCACCCTTTCCACCCCCTCCCTCACCATTCCCCCCTTTAGTTTATGTCCATGTGTCACAAGTTCTTTAGATTCTATATTTCCCATACTATTCTTGCCCTCCCCCTATCTATTTTCTACCTACCATCTATGCTACTTATTCTCTGTACCTTCTCCCCCCTTCTCCTCCTCCCACTCCCCTGTTGCTAACCCTCCATGTGATCTTCATTTCTATGATTATGCTCCTGATCTAGCTGTCCTCTTAGTTTGCTTTTGTTTTAGGTGTGGTTGTTAATTGTGAGTTTGCTGTCCTTTCACTGTTCATCTTTTTTTAACTTCTCAGGTAAGTCCCTTTAACATTTCATATAATAAGGGCTTGGTGATGGTGAACTCCTTGAATTTGGTCTTATCTGAGAAGTACTTTATTTGCCCTTCCATTCTAAATGAAAGCTTTGCTGGATAGAGCAATCTTGGATGTAGGTCTTTGGATTTCATGACTTGGAATACCTCTTTCCAGCCCCTTCTTGCCTGTAAGGTCTCTTTTGAGAAATCAGCTGACAGTCTGATGGGGACTCCTTTGTAGGTGACTGTCCCCTTAGCTCTTGCTGCTTCTAGGATTCTCTCCTTCATTTGAATCTTGGCTAATGTAATGATGATGTGCCTTGGTGTGTTCCTCCTTGGGTCCAACTTCTTTGGGACTCTCTGAGCTTCCTGGACTTCCTGGAAGTCTATTTCCTTTACCAGATTGGGGAAGTTCTCCTTTATTATTTGTTCAAATAAGTTTTCCACTGGTGGCTGTTCCTCTTCCCCTTCTGGTACCCCTATAATTTGGATGTTGGAGCGTTTAAAGATGTCCTGGAGGTTCCTAAGCCTCTCCTCATTTTTTTGAATTCTTGTTTCTTCATATTTTTCTGTTTGGTCATTTTTTTTCTTCCTTCTGGTCCACTCCCTTGATTTGAGTCCCAGTTTCCTTCCCATCACTATTGGTTTCCTGTGCATTTCCCTTAATTTCAATTAGTTTAGCCTTCATTTGTTCCTTTAATTTGTGACTAAAATCAACCAATTCTGTGAGCATCCTGATCACCAGTGTTTTGAACTGTGCATCTGAAAGATTAGCTATCTCTTGGTCACTTAGATTTATTGGCTCTAGGGCTTTGAGCTGTTCTTGAGCCATAATGTTTTGGTCTGTCCGCACCTGTTACATATAAGGGGCAGAGCCTTAGGTGTTCACCAGGGCAGGGCAACCCAGTTCGCTGGGTTGTGACACTGTATGTGGGGGCGGGGTCAGAGAGGGGCAAGGGCATTCTGTCCCCTCTGCTGCTTCTTACGAGCAAAGTGGGCCCTTCTGGTGCTGGTTCCCAGATGTGTGGACCTGTGCACCCTCCAGGACCCTGTGGGTCTCTCCAACAAACTCTTTGTGAGCCTGGGAGCTTCTTCCGGCACCTCGACCTCAAAAGCCTTTCCAATTGGTGCTTTCAGACTCTAATTCCCATTGCTCGGGCCCTAGCCTGAGCAGTCTGTCTCACTGCTCGCTCCTTTGCCTGGCTTATCTGTGCGCAAATGTGTGACCGTAGTCACCCAGCCACTGCTTGCGCTCTTTCCTGTCCGACCCCACTCCACCACTGGCTCCACCCCTCTTACCGGTCTGGCTGAATGGTTCGTTGTTGTTGGATTTCCATACAGTTCAGTTTTCTGTGTTTTGGCTGATTTTTGGTACTAAAACTTTGTTGTCTTTAAACTTGGTTGTGTGAGAAGGCACAGTGTTTCCACCTACACCTCCATCTTGGCTGGAAGCCTATAGCACCGTTTTTAAAACTCAGACGCAGCGCTGAGGGGGTAAGATGTCCTGCTGGCAGTTTAGCTCAACAGAACCTCAGCAGAAATGCACAGGGTGGGTTGCTGATCCGCTAACGGATGCCCACCCTAAGGACACACCAGAGCTGGTCAAACACACACACGTGACCATCACAGCTTCACTTGTAATAGCAGGTGTTAAGGGAAAAGCTCCATTGTCTTCATCACACAAAATCCTCTTGGAATACTGCTGACACCTGGTCACCAGATGTGTGGGGTCCACAGCAAGCAATTCTGCAATGTCAGCTAGGTGTCAAATGATTTACTTCAATTCTGACACTGTCCACCTGGAGAGTGTTACATCCCACAGGTTAAGGGCTCAGTCCCACAAGACCTCTGGGCCAGACAGCCTTTGAGGCACCGAGAACAAGAGTAGGACATCTGGGGGAAGCAGGGAGAATCCAACACATTGGCAGTAATCATGGTGCTGGAGGCTGGTGGGAGCCATGTGAGATGGTCACATGGAGGACAAAAAATTGGAGCAGGGACATCAAGGCCAGAGGTGGGTCTGGAAGGATGCACAGGAGGTGGAGTGTGGGCCCAGAGGTGGAGGGCAGCTCAATGCATTTGGGGACTGCAGGAAGACAGGGATATAGGACAAAATTAAAGGGGTAGCAAGAGTCTAGGCTGTGTAGACTGACTGCCAGGCGGGCTAGGGCCCACTTGGTTGTGACAAACCCAGCTCAGGGTAATTTACGCAGAAATGCAGCGAAGCAGATGCATTGGCTCCGTAATGTACAGGAATGCTACGGGAGGAAGCTCAGGCCTCCCCTGCCAGGCTTCTCTCCCTCCCTGCCAGCACCTCCTGGTTTGGCTCAGGCTTCACTCTCCATCTTGCAGGTAGGCCTTCTCCGGAGAACATGACCCCAGCTGGTCAAGTCCATATCCTTCCATGCCAGGACCCCTGGGTAAATTCTGACCCCCCACAGCTACCCTGGGTAACTAGGAGAAGGATGTGTGAAAGAGTGATGATGGTAGAAGCTGAAACTAGCTGCTAATGTAACCAGGCCATGGCATTTGAATTTTAGCACAAAGATCTTGGAATCAGAGCAGGCTTGGAATACACACAAAGCTGCTGGTGGTGGGGAGGCTGTGGAACTACAGTGAGTGAGCACAGGTGGGCAGTGTGCATGGAGGACCAGCAAACATCAGAGCTGTTTAGAACTTAAGAGTCAAGGGCTTGGAGCAACTGCTTGTGGGATTATTTACTCCCCTCTTGGTATCACTGTTACCTAATTTTTCATATGAAGAAAATGCTACCAAGCCTCACATGCTAATGAGGCATGGTGGCTGCAGGCTGCAGAGAAGCCCTTCCACAGTGGCGGGGCAGAGAGGGGAGGCTGTGGTTTCTACCAGGGGCCCAGCCTTCCCAACTGCTGCAGTCCTGCTCCAACCTGCTGTGGAGGAACAGCAGTTCACCTGGAAGGTGGTGTGATCCTAAAGTCAGGCTCACTGGATGGGAAGACCTCAGAAGATCAAATCTTTGTGTGCCTTCTGGGCAAGGCTCCAGCGTTGCTAGTAATCCAGCTAGAGAGGGCTGGCTTTAGCTCTGAGGAATGTGGACTGAAATCATCTCGGAATAAAAGTGCCAAAAGTTCCCAGAGCCAAGGACAAGTGTTGGCGTGAGGACTCCGTTGCCCACCCATAGGAGATTCACTGAGTCGGTGAGGGCATCTGGTGGTGGTTCACACTACCTTGGAGGTGGGACCCAGTGAGGAAATCAGTAAAAAGATAGTGCAGACAAGTGGTGTGATGACAACAGAACAAGGTCACAAAATGTGACAAGGGGAGGAGTTGGTGGGGACATGATTAGCTAGTCGACATTTGAATAAGAAGTCTGAATGACCAGGAATCCAGAAATGGCCATGAGATTTGATGAAGCTCCAAGAGCAGGTGCAGTAGGAGCAGAAGGTGCAGGAGAATGAGGGGCAGGGACGGGGGCTGTAACAGCTAAACCATGCAGACATGTGCTCGGCATGTTTCTGTGAGAAGATCCTGAAAGGGAGAAGGCAGGAAATCCAAAGAGCTGTGAGTGTCACCATCTGGTAACTCCCGGAGCAACTGTTGTGATGTCACTGGAAGTCAACAGTGGAGGGCAGGCTGTGTGGGGAACGTGCCAGGCTACCATAATGGCCTGGAGTACCAGGCAAGGACTTGGGGTTTTGCATGAGGGTTTTGGGCAGGCCAGGCTAAGGAGTCTTCAGGAAGTGCACATTGGTATCAGTGCAATGGACACCAGTAGCAGGAGAGCTGGTATCCCCCATGGCAAAGTGTCCCCTGGGTCACAATAAGGATCAGCTGCACTTGCCTCCCCTTGAACATCAAGACCACCTGCCAAGACAAACAGGAGCTGCCAAGCCCCCTAGTCCAGGGGGTTGGTTTGCTCTTAGCCCCTGGACTGTTCTTTCTTCATTCATTGCATTTGGGAGACATCTTTCCCAGGGAGAGCAGTCTAGCAATCTTGGAGGGAGCCTGCCGCTGGGACTGCATCCTGAGGCCAAGTTCGGAGGATGAATGAAACAGCTGAGGTTCATGACAATGGCAGCAGTGCCGTGTGACTGAGGAGTCTCACCACCCAGTCTTTTCTAGACTGGTTCTCCTGCCTTCCTGTCACCTCCGCAAGCTTCATTTCCTTCCAAAAAATTCTTAAGGGTGGTTCCTGTTGCCTGCCTGACACATGACTGAACCCCTCACCCAGTCGTGAGCACCCACAGGCCTTTACCCATGGGCTGGTAGGTGCCTTCTGAGGGCTGGGCAGGACCCCCGGCTGGGTTATGGAAGCTCCCGTCTCCTCACTGCCTGGGAGGTTGGCATAAGCTCCAGATGCAGGACCTGCAACTGGGTGAATAAGCCCCCCACCAGTAGGCGTCAACTTCACCACGTCAAGGTGCCTGCTCCACACTGGGTTTACAGAGGTAAACCGGGCAGGCAGAGCATCCCTGCCTTCACAGATGGAGGCCACCCCACCCATTCAGTGCCCACAGTTCATTCACTCTCTGCCTGGTAACAGCATCTTCAGTTTGCTCAGGGCAAAGACCCTCCTCACTCTCAGCAATGTGGTTTGGGCAGGGCTGCCCTACCCAGGGCTTAAAGGTCCGACCCAGGGCTAATGTGCAACACAAATTTGACCATCCTGTCCCACCTCTGTGAGTATCCACATTGGGGCTGTAAGCCATGAGGATGTTTGCCAAAGTTGGGAAGCCACTACATCAGACCTGTCCTGCTCCTCCCAACACCGGGCATGGGCATGTGAAGTTGGAAGCATTGCAGCCACTTTGCTACCAGGAAGAAGGGCTGGGTTTTCTAGGCAACCATCTTGTCGGCCCCAAGCTTGTAGCCATCTCATTGAAAACAGAGCAGAGACAGAAGTATGGATGCTAGTGACACTGGAACCATCAGATCAAGCCTCTCCCCAAGGTTCCCCTCCAGTCAAGTCCTTCCTTGTTTAAGCCAGTTTGAGCTGGGTTTCGTGTCACAACTAAAAGGGTCCTGAGAGAGACGGGATTAAAATAGTGTGGCAAGTATGCTGCCCCAGGAAGTGCAGAGAGATGGAAGACTGGGAGCTGGAGATGGCAACAGCACAGCCAAGACCTAACAGGAGGCAGGTGCAGCTGGCACAGGCAGGACACGAGAAAGGAGGTACAAGCAAAAGGGACAAAATGCAAAGGCTCAGAGGGAGGAGGAGTGCACTCAGAACCTGGAAGGGGTGCTGCCCCACTGAAGCGAGGGAAAGGGAAAAGCCATGAGATGCACAGGGGCCTCATCACCTGGCCTCGTGAATGTGAGCCCACATCCAAGTCCTTGTCAATGGAGTTACCAGGGTGGTTAGTAGGGGTGTGCCGGGCTGACTAGTACGTGGGAAGGTCTCGGGTAGAAAAGATGGAGCAAGTGGGCAGTTTGGAGCCAGGAGCAATGAGGAGCTGGTGCAGAGCGGTGGCTGGGGAGGGACCTCGCCCAGGGCAGCAGTGGTGGGGTTGAGGGCCACCTGGCAGGTGTGGTGACAGGTTTGATGCCAGAGGCCAGGGAGGAGGAGGCATCCAGGCCGACTCCCCAGCTTCCGGCTAGGGCAGCTGATGATGGGCAGGGCTGCCAGTCACTGAGCCAGGGCAGAAGGACCCAGTAAGGAGAGCACACCTTCAGCCCAGCCTGCTGGCCTCATGCCCATTCAGGCCAGATGCATCATGGGCCAAAGGAGAGTCCAGACTGTGGGGAGGTCAGGCTGGCCCGTGTTGGTGAGACACGTAACCAAGCTAGAGATCGATGACAAGGTCACCCTGAGCAAGCACAGTGAGCAACCCCAGGCCAGAATTATGCAGGAGCTCTGATACCTTCACCCGATGGGACCCAACCCCAGGGGTCCCACTGTCAGTGAGCTCCAGGAGAGAAGGAACAGCCATGATGTGAAACCCCCACAGACAGGTGCACAACACAGATGGAGGCTGTCCAGCAACTGCTCAGTAAGTTTTATTTGAAACCTGCTAATAAGTGAAAATAAAGCAGAGAGGAGGTAACTCAGGTGAAACTCTAGCATCTCTCTTCCAGCAGGGCCAGCAGCAGCACACCAGCTAGTGCTGCCTGGATCGCAAGGACTTTCTGTTCGATTTGGAGATTCCAGCCTCCCTCTCCTTCTCAGGGTCGAAGACTTCTGTACACAGAAAAGGCCAAGAAGACACTGAGTGGCAGGCTTGGTTGCACTCAGCAGCTCATGTTCACAGCTATATCTTCCGTCCCCAGGACCCTGTCCTCTTTCTAATATTCCTCACTGCTAACCCTCCTCCCCACCTGCAACGACTGGAGAACAAGCCTGGTTTACAGATGCACAACCCTGAGGGAGCTGTGGATACCACTCTCATTCCCCCTCCTGACTGCTGCTGGGGAGAAGCTTTGTCTACATCATGTGTCACATGCGCTGGAATTTCTACTGGGTTCTAGTGAGCCCTTTGAACTGTGCAAACAAGTCAGCCTTCACTTACTACAGAAGCTGCTTCGACATGGGGGTTCAGGCCCTGCTGATGCTGACCCCCACATGCACGAAGCCCTTGCCTGAGCAGCCCGTCTCCCAGGGCTCCGTCAGTGCCAGGCACCAGTCCTCAGGCCCTGCGCTTAGTTCTGCCAGCTCAGCCCCTCCCACAGGCCAGGAGAGCCCACCAGCACCTCAGGTACACCAACCTGGTATCTCATGGGGCCAGTAGTCGTTACAGTGGGGGCAGCGTGGCTCAGAATTCGACTGGAAATATTTGGCCACACAAGGTAAATGCATCCTAATCCCACAGGTCTCACAGCTTTGACCCTGAAACAAGAAAGACGATGGCTGTGGAGCCTTGTGCACACCTCCGTGCTCACAAACCTTCAGAAAATTGTCCAGCAGGCTATGTATTTTTGTCTTCCAAGCCCCAAATTAATCATGATAATAACCCCAAAGTCATTGTCCAGCAGGCTATGTAATCATGATAATAACCCCAAAGTCCTTGGTGCAGTGGGTTTTATTAAAGCATCCTGACAAATGAAGCACCAGACTCTAAAGGCCAGAGCAGGCAGTGGTAGCTGGCCAAGCCCAGCTGAGCATCAGGGCCACCCTGCGACTCGGACTCCCTGCACATGCGGACTCTCATCCCGCAGGTGGGCATAAGGCAAGCTACAACTTTTCAGAAGGCATTAGGCAATGTATTTCAAACACAAAGGACACATACACTCTCTGACCCAGAAATTCTAATTCCAGAAATTCAGCCAAAAGAAGCAATCACCAGACACCCAGGGGAGTATAGTTGCAAAGAGACTCATCACAGTGTAGTTACCATTGCAAAAAGATAAAAGTTAAAAAGAAAAAACCCTAACATCTAGCTGCTGTAAAGCCCTACAAAAGTCCACAGTGAAAAACTGATGACTTTGGAAATCAGCAATTGACACAGAAAGATGCTCACCACACATCCGCCAAGATAACGCAGGTGCACAGCAGACTGCTGACAGCCTTCCGGAGAAAAACACAGTCAAGAGCCCTCAGGCTACAACACAAGGCCAGGAGGGGAAGAGGCAGTGTGCTTGTGTGGCCATCCCGGACACTTCCAAGGACAGGCCTACTGGCTTACATCGGAAGAGGTGACCGCAGTGCTAGAAGCCTGGCCCCAGAGAGTTCT